GGTAGGTAGGTAGGTATGTCTGTATGCATGCATGTATGTACCTGTAGCAATGCACCCTAAACCCTAAACCTTAAACCCTAAACCCTAAACCCTAAACCCAAACCCCTAAACCCTAAACCCTAACCCCTAACCCTTAAACCCTAAACCCTAAACCCTAAACCCTAAACCCTAAACCCGAGCAGGCCATGGAGCCTCCTCCCCGGCCCGAGCGTACTGCCGCGGCTGGATATCCTGGCGATGGGCTCAAATTCTCCAGTGTTTAGGGTTTAGGGTTTAGGAGTTAGGGTTTAGGGTTTAGGGGTTAGGGTTTAGGGGTTTGGGTTTAGGGTTTAGGGTTTAGGCGTTAGGGCTCGTGAGAATCCAGGGGTTTAATATGGGCTTCAGGGTTAAGTGTTTAGGGTTGAGGGGCCTTAGTAATTACCTAGACTATTTTTGGGCTTCAGGCTTAAGGGTTAAGGGTTTTGGGTTGAGGGGCCTTAATAATTACCTGGACTATTTGGGGCTTCAGGCTTAAGGGTTAAGAGTTTCGGGTTGAGGGGCCTTAATAGTTACCTGGACTATTTTGGGGGGGGTTCCTTATGGTAGGGATTCTGGGGTGTTCCTGAGGATTTGGACTTATAGTTCTCGTTGTTTTGAGGTAGTTTCGCAAAGGGTTTGTAAGGTTGTTGATCTCTGAGAGGGGGTTCTTTCGAAGTCAATGCGATTCAGGGCCCTAAAGCCTAAACCCAGGGCTGTTGGGCTGCCTTTTGGAATTCGAGGTTCGGGTTTAAGGATTTTCTCTGGCGTGGTAGTGTTGGGCTTCGGTTTTTTGCTGTGGCAACCTGTGTGGCTGCTGATACTATAAATCCTGCAGTGCCTTACAAGGACCCTAAACTATGGGAATTGTGGTATATTCCTTATTATGGGAAATGCTGGACTTATATCATCAACCGTAGGTCTTAGAGGGGCTTTCTTGAGAATATGACGAGCATACAAACTCTGGCTGGGCTTAGGGCTTAGAGTTTATAGGGTTTAGGGTTTAAGGTGTAGGGTTTAGGGTGGTGCATCAAATCTTAAGAAGACTCATTCGGTGTACATTGCTACATGACCCTTCAGCCGCAGAACGGCCAGCCTTCAACCGCCAAGCAGCACACCTTGAGCCTGTGAAAAACGCTCGACGGCCAAACCCTCCTTAACCCCGAAACCCAAAACTCTCTAAGGCTTGAACTTGAACCCTGAACCCTAAATCCTAGACCCTGAAACCTGCACCCTAATAAACCCCATAAGCCCCATAAACCCTAAACCCTAAACCCTAACTTGAACCCCGATTCCGAAGCTAAGCGACAAACCCTAAATCCAAGTTCCCGATGTGGGACATCGCTTGAGGTGCCCCGGGTGCGCCAGCTGCAGAGGCTTGGCCCGTGTCGAGCTGATTCTGTTCGGATTGTGGCGTTCTGGGCTTAGGATTTAGGATTTAGGCTTTAAGGTTGAGGGAGTTTAGGGTTGAGGAAGTTCAGGGTTGAGGGAGTTTAGGATTTGGAGGTTGTAGGATTGAGGGATTTAAGGATTTGGGGGTTTATGGATTTAAGGGTCGTGCCAAGGTGACATTTTGAATTTGGGGAGTCGGCGATTTTGGGATTTAGCCGTTTGGGAACCAGGGATTCAGGATTATAGGGAGTTTAAGATTCGGGGGTTTTGGCATCGTGCGAGGTGAATTTGTTAATTAGGCGGTGACTTTATTCGGTCCTAGGGATGTTTAGGGCCGTGCCAAACTGACTTGTTAGGTGTTCGGGGCTTAATTAGAGTTTTCGGTAAAGTCGCGTGTTCTCGAAATAGCCAGCAGGTCCGCCTTTCGGTTGGGATCCTTGTCGACGATTTGGTCGGGTCTGCTCCAACAGAATCCTTAACTTAGTGGCTGAGTAGCCTTTTTTTGGCTAGAGAACTCAGCCCCTGAGTTAAAGCGAAAATATCCTTGAGGGTTAGGTGGTTGGCTTTGTCGCATGTGAAGCTTGGGGCCACGTCTAGTCACGGCTTTGAAGCAGCACAGCATGTTCAACACAAGAATACCATGCTAAACCCTAAACCCTAAA